AATAAAACTTAACGGTTTTCAAATAAGCGGATAAGCGAAAATCGTAAAGAAACGATACGCTAGACCCTTAATTTTACGACGTTAAATACATACCTCAATACTATTATGAGCCTGTCAAGTGAGGTAAAGTAAAGTTTATTAAAAGTGTATTATGGATGATAATTTAATTAATTGTTAAACTAATTAATTAAATTATCTAAGACTTAGAACATGGTTAAGGAAGTTAATTAATTACTAAGATTAATTAACTAACTTATGTAGACTTAGTATATGAATAAAAAGGGTTAATTAATTACCAAAATTAGTTAACTAAATTATTAGACATATTATAAGGATAAGATAATTAATGAATTGTCAATTTAGGACAAATTTGTAATGCCAATTAAGGAAAATAAGATTTTGAGAATTTAATAAATTAATCTTTATTGTAAATTATCCTTCAGTAAAGAAAAGGAATACATGCCTTAAGTGAAGGGCTAGATTTCCTTCATAAGTTGCTAAAATAGAATAGCAAACGACAGATAATCTCACACTCTCAATGGGTGTTCATTTTCAGAAGTAAGCAAGTAAGAGAATAGGCTGTTTGGCGAAAAGTGGATTCCAGCTCTGTAAATCAGGTAAGTAGGAATCTCGCCTACAGCATGACGAGATTTTACAGAAAAAAAATTACACATGTTATATATATACATGTTTATGCTTTAAGTATTATATACGATGTCATGTCATACTGCATACACTTTAATAAGTCAAGAGGAACTTATAAGAATAATCTCAGTTGAGTGTCGTACCAGCCTCCACAAGGGAGGTAACTCAAGCTCCACAAGGGAGAAAAAATAATAATAATGTCCTCTGACTCAAGGGAGGCATTTAAGTTATAATCACAGTGTCGTGGGGGACCTTGCAAACCCTCACGTCTCGATGATTGCGCGCAAGTGGTACGCGAGCACTCGGGCCCATAAGAAAGAAAGAAAAGATAAGAAAGATAATATAAGATAATAAGACTATGATAAAACATCATAATTAAGCATAATCAGCTCGTGCATATTTATTCATGTGTACTCACAGTTTTTTGCGATATATAGTTTCTACTTGCTGAGTAAAAGCTCAATCAGATATGTTCATGCTGTAGGTAAGAAACCTATCAGTAATTCTTTAAGGGCAATGGTGAGCGGCGGACGAATGGTAGAGATGGGAATGGATACCGCTAACACTTAAAATCTTCCGCAGTAAGTTCAAGTAAAATCATGTATATGTATATATGATTTAAAAGTTTCAAGCATGTATGTTTAAAAAGTATATGTACATATGTATGTTAAGGAAACCGAGGTTGTAGCTAACAACCCTAGTTTTGAGTATTTAAGTTTTAGAACGTTGCAACAGCGCATGCAACAAATAAATGAATTTTAAACATGACGATTTAAATGATTGATTTTAAAAGGACTTTAAGATGTACTTGAATTTAAGATTTCTCACGAAATCTGTTTTAAAGTCAAATTAGATGGCCGATTGAATTGGCTAGCTTTAGAAAAGCTTTTAAAGAGTATTTGAAACAAGAGTTCAAACGCTGCTTCATTTGAAGGATATTTCTAGCAGGTTTTACCTTAATTGAAATTAAGAAAAGTTTTAAGAAATTTAGTGATAAATTCTTTTGAAATTGTTGTTACGAATTATGAAATTATTTCTTCTTATATATAAAATAAAATAAAATAAAATGTTCTGCAAATTTTAAGAAAGCCCAGTAAGTACAAGTTAAAAATTTAAGCTACGGTGACGGCCACCTGAGGAGGGTCGTCACAAGATGAAAAGGGTCCCTCTCGGCGATTAGATGGTCTAGAAGCCATTGTTCTGGTATAACAAAAAAGAAGGGATGGTGTGAAGAGCAAAGTTACAAGCCTAAGTCGAGAGGGATAGGACAATCTACAACAACGATGATTGTTTAAAACCACTTATGACTGCCAAAGGCATGAGAACGCCGATGACTCATAAAGCCGCTGATCATGCACAAGGAAAGAGCGACGAACACTCATAGAAAACCCAGATTTTCCAGCCAAACCGCCCCAAATCCAGACCTCAACTCTTTACAAACAACCAGAAGCCTAAAGGTCAGCCCATAAGGGCTCAAGTGTACGCAAAGTAAGTCTTTTTAACCTCCTGAATGTCTACTTCATGCCTTAGAACACATAATGATCCGACAAACCAAGCAAGAAAAAAGCAGAGAATGGAGGGACTTACCAGGGATTTAAGAAGTACTGGAATCTAGAACACGACTCAAGTGAACTTCACGAAACACCGAAGGGAACGAGAAAGGCGGGATATGGATTCTAAAAACTTGGGTAGAGTAACGATAGTCCTCAGAGGTTTGGGTAGAAGTCTCGGTTTGAAGTAGCTTTTTAAAGTAAGACGAGCCCTCGACCCCTGACCGTTGGATGGAATCCTAGTGACTCCAATGGCGAGGGCAACCGATCAAGATCGAACGGCAGAAACGAAGGCGGGAAGCTAAAAAGGTGATCCAACGGCTCAGATTCGTCCGTTTAAATAAAGGCCCACGTCAACATGGTGATTGAACCGACACGACGTTTGCACTTCTCAAGAGATTTTCACAGTATCTGAGTCATTATTGCAAGGGTGGTTCGGTGTTAGGCTACCACGCCCGAAGTAAACAAAAGAAGAGCCAGGGCAAATCCCAGACCTAGCTCGAGGCAGTCCGAAGAAAAGCCTCGACCTGGGGGGGCAGCTGTTGTGTGGAAAAATTCACATTGACACGTCGGATGCCCCACATGGCCCTATGCTTGCCATGTCCGTTGGCCCTTAACGCCTGAGACTCATTTCACCTCCCGTATAGTATGAAAGTCGAACGCATGAGGGGGGCTCAGACCGTCGATCCTATACACAGTCGAGGCCTGCGAGATCAAGCTCATGCAAGTACCATGATAGGGTCGACCGAGGGAAAGGCCACACTTGGCAAATATTGGCATAGGCGTAGAGGGTAGAACGTAGACAACTGGATCCACATCCTAAGAAAGACCCCTGAGGTGACCAGTTGAATATCCCGAGGTTGCGTCTGGGTTTGGAGAATGTCAATTGCACATGGAATGATTACAAGCCCCTAAAACCGCCTAGAACGGATCAATGGATATTACAGAGGATCTACAGAGCTGTAATGGGGGGACAAATTAGATGAGTGAACAGTCCAAAAGGTGCTGACAGGCTACAGTCTAGACAAATGAGATAGTAGGCCAGTCGAGTGGATGGGCCCCCTTGAAAGGAACCGTCTAAAGGCCCAAATGGCCCACCGTTGGATAATGCCCATATGTAATCTATAAGCTATAAAAGGGGCAAAGCCCCCCCCCCCAAAAAAAAGGATGATGATTTTTCTTGTGTAAAATTATAAGGAACAAAAAGAGAATACAATCAAGTGGATGTAGCTCTTGGGTGAACCACTACAAAATTTCTGTGTGTTCTTTCTTCACAGAGCATCAACACAAACTCTAGCATATTCAGTTAAAATACAAGTTTTAAGCCGGTAACCCAACGGGCCACCGAGGGGTAATCCGGTGCGGACTTGTTAACGAAAACCGACCCTCAACAATACCTTTCATTAGAAACCTTTATTAACTATAAATACTAGTCATGTCTCAAAGTTACTTCGATCACTACAACAAAACTATTGATTCACATCAGTCAAAAACCGTGGTTAAAGAATGTTTAACGTCAATTTTCGTACCGGCATTGTATAGACCGTTCGTTTTCACAACAGCTTTTGACTGATGTTAGATATTAAGATCAACGTTCTTAAAAATGCACTAGAATCCTATAATACGTGGTCAATAACCGATGTTAACATCCCTTTTAGAAGATGTTAAAAACTACGAGAAATTTGTTTAAAAACTCAATTTTTTAGCTGCTGTTAAAAATATTTAACAAAATTGGCCGTATCAAGCTTCGTCAACTCGCGTTGTTATAAATACCAGATTGCAATGATCAGTAACAGCATGTTTTCAAGTATTTGATTAGTAGTTAATTCTAAAAACTACAATTCATATATGCAATTCAATAGTGCAGATATCAAAACATAATTATATAAATAAAATTAAGTTATACAACAAAAAAATGTATATGATCAAACACCATCAAACCTAATCTCTACTAGTTCAACTAAAATACATAAAAAACTCAACATCTCCATATCTAACTAACAAAATACATAAGGACATAAATAACCAAATCTAACAAAATACTAAAATATGTATGATTGAATAAATTCTTCCCACTCTCACTACAAGAATTTGAATTTTTTGCTACCAAAAATTTAGTAACCAAAAGCCCTGATTTTGGTAGCAAAATATTTTTGTTACCAAAAAATTTTGGTAGCAAAAAGTGCGTAGCAAAAAGTATTAGTTACCAAAATTTTAGTAGCAAATAGTTTTTGCTACCAAAAAACTTTTTAGTAAGAAAATGTATTTACAAGCAAAAAATATGATATTCGGGGACCAAAAATTTTGGTAGCAAAAGATTTTTGCTAGCAAAAAATGTGAGCTTTAATACTTTAAAATTTTGGTAGCAAAAAATACGCAATTTCATCACCAAATATTTAGTAACAAAAGATATTTAATAGCAAAAGCCATAAGATTTAGAGAGCAAATATTTAGTATCAAATTGTATTTAGTAGTGAAATGTATGGGATTTGGTGACCAAATATTCGGTAGCAAAGGGTATTTGGTAGTGAAAAATATGAGATTTAAAGACCAAATTTTTAGCAAAATATATTTGGTAACGAAAAAACAAGAATCAAGTACCAAATATTTAATAGCAAATAACTAATTTATTGCTATCATATTTTTTTGGTCACCAAAACTGAGACAGATTTATATACCTGTATTTTTTTAAAATATATATATAAATAAAATACCAAATATTAATTTAAAAATCTCTAAATATTTCAATACATATTAGAATCTAAACAAAATACTAAAATATACATACTTAAACAAACCCAAACACTTATGTAAATATTGTACTAATAAAATCTTAATATTACAAAAATTAAACGCTCTAACAAACTGAGGCCGGTGATGGCAGTAGAGGAGGATATTCTTTTCTTGGAACGGAAGGTCCAAAATGATCTAACGGCGTAGTTATCTATTGAAGTAGCTTTTGAATAAGCTTACGTTGTTGCTTCTTTGGATAGTGCGTCTAATATATATCTGCTCCATTCCAAGAGGTAATGAATCAGGAGAGGTAAACAAGCGTGTGCATAATTTTCAGATGCTCTGTAAACAAGCACGCATAATTTTCAGATGCTCTGTAAAAATAAGATTCTGTAAACAAGCGCCTAAAGTGACACAATTTTTCAGATGCTCCTTTTTTAACTCGCTAATTTCTAGAACATCCCACCAAGAATGCGCCTTAAAATTAGTCATTAACAGCACTTTAAGATGCCCAAACCCAGTCATTTGCCTAACGCCTTACAAAACTAAGGATGGAGAAAAAGAAAAAATCAAACCAAGACAAGACAAGACTTCGCAAAACGGACTGCTTTCTTCAGTGCAGGCAACAAGCAAAAGAAAATATGTATAAGAAAAAGAAACAGAGGTGTGCAAGTAATAAAAGTACCTCCAGCAGCAACCAGCTTCTCTACACGTGCAACTATATGTTTTCCGTAAGTGTATTTTTTAAGAGCATTCAGATGAACCTTTATACGATTAAGGATTAGTTCAAGTTGCTGGTCATCACAAGTTTCTAGCACTTTCTGTACAACATAGTTCGCAAACTGATCACCTAAAATCCATTCGCAAGAAAATATAAATGAATAAATAAATTAGAATTAAGAAACATAGAAAAAGATAAGAAACAACACACAACGTCAACCATGAAACTTTCTTTTTCTGGACAATTTATAACCATATGAAAACGTAGTCTCAGAAAAACCTTTGAAGTAACGTGTCAGTGGAACCAAGCATTTCATTTGAGGCAAGCATTTCATTCATCAGTCAATTTTCATCAGTGGAACCAAGCATTTCATTATCTGGCGTTCAACAGGAGTTCCAAAAGTTAAACACTTCTCTATCACATTTGAGGCAAACTTCTGCTGGCTCATTTGAACTATCTGTCCAGTCAATTTTGTTATTATAGCAGTGCGCTCATGTGGCTTTCCATGCTCCAGAACATGCTGCAAAATGACATTAGAACAATTATAAACTTAAATATAAAAAAAAGTTCAACTTAGAAGCAAGAATAAGGACAAAAAATGGCTATAGGAATTAGTTATGAAGAACTTCACGCTACAGGCAAATAGAAATCATGGACATGTATCCGATTCCTTCACAATTCTAATATCTACAACATTCATAAGAAATAGTATCGAACGCAAGGTATTCATTAAAATAGCTTTTAATCCTAAGGGTTGCTAGTCAATCATTCTTCACGTAGTCACATAGATCATCAGTAATCTTACTAATACAATGACAACTAAAATAAAAGCAATATAAATTCTACTTAAGTACCACACACAGACACAGGTTAGACTGTGCACCCCAAAAAAAAGGGGAAAAAAAAAACCAACAACAACACCACCAAGATGATCTATTCACCGGGAAATTATTGTGTATAAATTGATAGCTACCAAATAACAGCTTTATAGCTACCACACTAAATTTAATGTAACAAAAGGGAACAGAAGAAGATAAGCATTACCAGAGCAATGGATGCATATGAAAATCCAGAACAAACTGCATCCATGATGGAATGATCAGAATCATAACGAATCCAAGGGAAGAGAACAAACTGCATCCAAATCTCATTGTTGGTCCTTGATTCAGAATATCGTTTACTTGAAAACCATTCCCATATTTGTAGTACAAATTTAAACACCGCTGGGAAAAGAAGAAGGCCAAGGAGCATCCCCTTCAACGAAGAGAAAAATAGCCATTTTAACTATCCATATATAAACGAAACACGCACCTTATAACAAATTTCAATTGACCCCACCGATTCAGCATTCTACTCATCATCGTCATTTGGCACTCAAACCTAACAAATGAACAAGGAAAAACGCTTTTAAGGTGAATCTGGCCATAGAATCCAAATCTAAACCTCAAATTCCCAGACCTAACTCAACTTTCAACCACATTTGTCGAATACTCACTCTAAAAGTTCCAAATTCGCCCTATCAGTTCAGCATTCTGAATTAACAAGATCAAAGCAAAACAAAAACACCAAACGAGAGGGGGGAAAAAGAAGGCAGAACAAGAGGCTCACTCAGCAAGGTCGCCGAGCTGACGCAAAACTCCGACGCCTACATGCAGATTTCTTTTTGTGGTGCCTACACTTTGAACTCTTGGTCTTGGGTTAATTACTTCAAATAAGTCACGCACAAGCATGATATCCTTCGAAATTCTTTTCTTTCTTTTTTTTTCCCCTTTTCTTTTCCATTGTTTTGTGGGGTTCAACAGATCGAGAATGAGTTTTTATAATGCAATCAGCAATAAAAAAGTTGAAATCAGCAATAAAAATAAAAACATTTCCACGATGAGAGAGGGAAAGGGAGAGAGATAGAACTGACCGGAACGACGAGAATCGGCGGCGGCGACAGCGACAATCGACGGCGGTGAAAGCGGGAATCGGAGTCTGCGACGCCGAGAATCAGCGGCTAGAGAGAGAAGGAGCGAGAGAGAGGAAGAAGGCAGAGGAATTTCTGAAGAAGATGGCGCGCAAATGGTGAGGATGACGAAGGGCGGAAGAAGAAGATGACGAGGCGTTTCTAAAGAAGGGGAAGAAGGGCGATGGGTGTAAGGAAGAATGGTGCGTGGGTGTGTTTTGAAATTTTAGGGTGGGTTAGGTTAAAATGATTTTCCCACAAAAATTTTGTTCTTTTTTTGTAACCAAAAAAATGTTTTGGTTCTTTGGCAGCAAAAAAATTTTTTTTCTCACCAAAATATAAATTTAATAGCATAATTATATTTTCTGTTATTAAAATTTAGTATCAAAAAATTATATTTTTTATTACTAAATATTATTTTAGTAGTAAAAATCATATTTTTTACTATTAAAATTTAATTTGACAGCAAAAAGACATATTAAAAAATTTAAAAAACACTTTTTGATGATAAATATTATTTTAGACTCATTGTTCTAGTAATATTATAACAAAAAATATAGTTTTGAAATTAAAATATATTATTTCATGTTAAAAAGTAATCAAATAGTAAGATTATATATTACTCTATGTGAAACATATACTTAATTAACAATATCACATGTATATACATATGAACATGTATCTTGCTACACTTACACAAAATAATTAAATTATCAAATAATTGTTATACAAAATATACTAAGATGATTGTTAAAACTTAATATAATACATATTTATGGAAAACAAAAAAAAATACATGCACAAAATGTAAGTTTTAAGTTTTTATATGATTTGCTACTAAACGCAACTTTTGGTAGCAAAAAATGCCTTTTTGTCACCAAAATAAGAATTTGGTACCATAATCATGTTTTTTGCTACTAAAATTTAGTACTAGAAACTTAGGAGTACATTTAGAAATCATTCTAAAATAATTTTATTTTTTGTATGAAAATGAAAATAAAAACGTTTTTATTTTCATTTTAGAATTATTTCTGAAAATGTGTTTAGTAATTTTATTTTGAGATTAATTTTAATTTTAATTAAAATTAAAATTGTGTTTGGTGGTTTAAGTTTAAAAACATGTAATAATATTTAAAATTAAAATATATTAAATAAATAATAAAACTCTGAAATCCATAGTTCAAACAAACCCAAAAACCATTTATCAATATATTCAACGAATGTAAACAAAATTCAAGAGGAAGCCAAACAAAACTCCAAATAAACCCGTAGATTACTGATTCTTCCCCCAAAATAAACTGAAACACATAAAACTTCAAAGAGAGTTTCTTCACAACAAGAAGAAAAATGAATCAACTTTCAGCCTTCGAGTGAATGATGGTACTTGAGTTTGCGGATTCACGATATCTTTGATTAGTTCCGGAGGTCATCGGCGTGAGAGGACGATTCACGAAATTGTCGCTTGAGTTCACGGATTCTCCATTTTTCTATTTGGTTGCAGATCTGCAACTTTTCTTTTATATTTCAAAAAATAAAAAATAAAAAAAACGTAAATTTGCAGTTAACGGGTGGGTGAGTGCGACGGCGGCGTCAGCGCGCGGGGTGAGCGAGGGTGGTGAAGCATTTGTTTTCTCTGGCTAAAGATCTTTTTTTTTGTGTATGAAAGATCCGGTGAAGATTTGGTTTTCTTTCCCTTTTTTGGCCGAAGATCTGGTGAAGAGCAAGAAAATAGAGAGATTGTCATGAGCAAGATACTTGATCTGTTCTTGCTTTTGAATTTATGAACTTCGTTTTACAATTTTTTTTCCCCTTTGAAAACCTCTGATTTAGGACACAACAGGGGGCAGTGGGTAGCTGAGGATGGTCAGGCATGGTGGAAACTAGCGTGAGAGATGGGAGAAAATGAAAAAGAAAATGAAAAACGGATTTAATCTATTTTCAGATTTTCAGAAAACAGCAAAAACGTTTTTGTTTTTGTTTTGTAAAATTTTTTACACTAAACGCGTTTTTGATATGCGTTTTCATTTTTTAATCTCAAAAAATGTGAAAAATAGAAATAAAAACATAAACAAACAGTGCCTATGTTTTTTGTTACCAAACATTATTTTGGTATCTGAAAGTATATTTTTTACTACCAAATATGAATTTGGTACCAGAAAGACGTACATTAAACATTAAAAAAATAATGTTTTAATGTCAAAAATTATTTAAAAATTATTGTTCTAATAACATTATAACAAAAAAATGTAGTTTTGAAATTGAAATACATTATTCAAAGTTAAAAATCAATCAAATAGCGATATTATATACTGTTATATGTGGAACATATACTTAGATCACATATATGTACACATAAACATGTCTCTTCTTACATTTATACAAAATAACTAAATTATCAAATAATTATTATACAAAATATATTAGGATGATTGTTAAAACTTAATATAGGACATATTCATAGAAAATTGAAAAAAAAAAAAAAAGCAATACAAGCACAAAATATAAATATTAAATGTTTTTATATGATTTGCTACTAAACACAATTTTTAGTAGAAAAAAACGCATTTTTGTCACCAAAATAAGAATTTGGTAGTAAATTCTTGTTTTCTGCTACCAACATTTGGTAGCAAAAAATTATATTTTTTTATAGCAAAAACTTGATTTTTCGTTACTAAATTTTGGTGGCAGATAGTTATATTTTGCTTCCAACACTTGGTAGCAAATGTTATATGTTTTGCTACCAAAAATAATTCAATAGCAAATACCTCAGGCAGGAAAAAATTTTGCTTCCCGCCAACTTTTTATTACCAAAACATGTTTGGTAGAAAAAAGTAATATTTTACTACCAAATTTTTTGTGGTAGAATCTTATGCTTTCGTTACCAAATATTATTTTGATAGCAAAAAGTTATTGGCAGGAACCAAATTTCATTTCCCGTTTGCATTCGTAAGAATAAATATAGATGTGTAATGAAATTAAAAAAAATGTATATGCATTGTACATACCTTAGGAGAAATTATGGTAATTTTTTCGACTATTATTTCTTTCATGTATCTCCTTACATAAAACCACATTCTATAGTAGTAGGGTGTCTGGGGCACTGTACGTTGAGACATAATAATGATTACTACAACAATAATAGAAATTATAAATAAAAAATAACAACATGAACAACAATATATATATATATATATGTATAATTGAGTTAATTTGTCAACTTACATTTATTTTAATCCATTGTCGCAGCTTCTTTTTTTAAGGCCAAGCATTTTAAGCCCACTATAAGAAATAAGTAAACAACTTAGTAAAACCAAAATTTACAAACATACAAATTAGTAAACAAATTATTAGAGATCATCAACTTACAAATTAATAACGTATTTCATTTCTTTACTTGGCTCGTTCCCAAGAGCATCAAAGAAGAGCACAAGTTTCTCATGAAGATCAATATTTAACATCCAGTGAGACCTAAAAAATTATGAAAAGTCAAATAAGCATTAAGTTAGAAATTAATATATGTGGCACAACAATATTTGTTTGAACAAATATGACTTATAAAGAGTTATATGGAACAAATAAATATTGCCTTCGGGGGTAATCTTCCAACACATCTTTCAAAAAACGCGAATGAGCATTCTTGCTTAGCCCACCTTAGACCACCGTACAACAAGGATCTACAAACTTGAACTTTTTATGCAACTTAAGCGTACAATATATTTATAAAAAATACTTTACGTGACCTTAAATATTATATATAAGTGTTATATATTGAAAAATATTATTTAAAGATAATAATCAAAATAAATCTGTTAAATTTTACTTCATAATCTTTTATTATAATATTGTTAATACATGTCATTCCCATTAAGAATGGAACGAGCTTATCCGCATCATTTATATAGAGAGATATTGAATGAGTATATTTCATATAATGAGTTTATGTAAGAATGGGACAAGACACTATATGAATTTCTGATAAATTCCGTTAAATATAAAAATTATAATTGAGTCTATCGTTTGTCATATGTAAAATGACTTTAATCTTTAGTTACTAACAGACTCTTATTTATGGATTTGTGTCTTTGATTTACTAGTATGGATGTCAAGATCGCTAAACCCTATTCTTTGTATCTTGAGGATATGATAAAGTAGGTAGCCGAAAATGTTAATATATAAGATGAAATCCATTCTTTCTTTAAAAAAAACAAATAAATAATTTTTTTAAATGTTAATTCGGTACTTAAATTAGTAGAAACTCAAATTTATTACTTTTTTTTTATGAATCACTTCATTTAGGGGTGTAAGAGAAACCAGCAAACCTGAAGAACCTGGCCGAGCCACGCCGAAATACCCCGATAATGGCGGATTTGTGAAGATTTTAATTTTTTTGGGCCCCAAATATTCCATAGCCGACATTGTCGGCTCGGTCTGCGGCTTGAAATTTTTCTTCCCCGAGAACCGAGAACTCGACCGGCTTGAAATTTTTAATATTTACTTTTATTTCATTGTAAGTTTGGTTTTCTAAGACACTAAGGGCCCGTTCACTTCGCTGATTCGAGTTTGTAATTCGAGTTGAGATGTGATTTTGTGTGAGAGCTTTTTACTGTAGCAAAAAAGTTAGATGTGATTGTTTCTGAGAGCTTTTTACTGTAACAAAACTCGAATCGGCGAAATGAACGGGGCCTAATAAAGTAGGCCACCTGTCAATTTATTTCTACCAAGCTATCTTTCCCTCCCTCACCTCACGTGTCAGCCCAATCAAATTCCCATTTTTTTAAATAAAAACATCACTTTTTATCTTTAAATAATATACCTTTTTG